CCAGCCAATGGCTGGTTCATCCTATCTGAGTTGAATGCTGGAAAATTTTTTGTTTTATCATATACGTAAAAAAATTGAAATGTAATATTGTTTTTTGTTAAATGAATGCTTGATTTAGCTCAGCATAATGATATGGTTTAAAGCGTTTAATGCAAATGGAATTTTTTCATAGTCTGAACCCAGTGTGTTTTATTAGGAAGTGTGTATTAACATTACTGGAGCAGCTCTAAGTTGGTATCTGCACTGCTTCACAAAGAGAGTTTCCGAGCGTGACAGTTATTAATTTGTTGCTCTGTGATAGAATCAGATGAAAGTAGCCTAAATGAACCGAGAGCTTTTACGAGCTGATCGGCAATTTCCGTTCACCCACTGCATTGCAAATTACAAAAATAATGAACTAGAGCTGTGCTCATGATACAGTACAAAATTCCCACTGAACTTGATGTGTTAATTCTTTTCTGACACCAAGTGATGTGATCTGTTTTCTTTGTCTTTTGGTATGGATGACACCTTCTAAAACAGAAAAATGATTTGTAAGACGTGTTTACAAAGAGTCATGCAAAAGCCTATAGATGTTCAACTCCTCATATAACTGAATTATTATTTCTTTCAAATCTATCAATGGAATAAGATGAATGTCTGTATAGCATTACATCACATCTGTGTACTGCATGTAAAATAACATATATTGGCTTGTATTGTGACAATGGCAACTACTGGCTGACTTTGGTTGGGAAAAAAGGAATTGTCACTGATAAAATTTCTCAAAGTAATTAATTTGTTTTTAAAGTCCTGAAATTTTGATTACTAAGTTTTAAATAGAGAGTTGAGTTTGAGGCAGATTAGTTCATTTAAGATATGTTACCATTGTATTGCCAAAAAGGTAAACTAAATATTAACTGTAAAGGTATCCTGCAGTGATTTTTTCTTCAATACTGTAAGAGCGAAAGACTCATTCGTAAGTTATCATATCAACATCTTCTGGCAAATGTTAAAAATAATTTTGTCTCCCCTGGATGATGTTTGCAGAAGTAGAAACAAATCAAGCATGTCGTTATCTAATATTATGTGACAGCTGCAGCAATTGAAGTGAGTGTATTTCTGCTGCAGATAGCACAGAGTGGAGGAGTATTAATAAACCCAGATTGGGAAAGAAAAAAAAAACAATTAATTGGATCTGGATAGAGTTACAGCATTTCAATTTCCAAAGCATAGGGACAGATGGGGAAGACATTAGTTTGGATATAAATTCATTAAGTACTGGTGGCATTTGGGTGTTTTTTATGCAAGTTGGCTTCGAATTTCAATGTGGACTGAAAATTGCACATGGACAAAGGTGGCATTTTTAACAGAAATAAAGGCTGCAGTTTTTGTAGAAGATCAGGTGATACCGTAGCTTTTTATAAAAGAATAACTAGCTTGTGTGATGATGATACAATATTGATTGTATAATTGTTTTGCACTTGTGATGGTGGATTTATGAACTGATAGCCAGGCAGTGGTATATTCTAGATTACAATATATGTAGGTAGACCACAGTTTCATTTAAAAAGCACCATTTACACCCATAGTCTTTCCACTATCACACACTATCACACAGGACTTACATAAGTACATGAATGAGGTACATGATAACTGCTTGTTATCATTTTGATGACATCTCTTTTCAACTGAATATATTTCATAGCATGATGTATATTTTTAGTATGACAAATCGGCTACATGATAACTCTATATATATATATATGTATATCATCATTTTGATACCATCTCCCCGTTAAACAGAAAAGGATTCATATAATGAAGCATTAGCTTATACCACCATATTACATGCGAAGTGAAATTTAATGCAAGGCGAGTCTTTGTTATCACCTGATACAGGTGTGCATCTTACCTGGATATAATGAGCTGTAATGACAATGATGATCAGCTATATGATAGAGGTGACAGATGGAGAAGACATCGGGCACTGACTTGAACAGAAGGACTGGACTTTCAAGGGGCACTTTGCTGGACAGTTTGTGGACGTAGTGCCAATACAGTGGACAATCGGAGATTGTTGAAGAGAGACTGACAGCCAGTGAACATTATTTGCAAGTATGCTGTCTTAAAAGATAGGATCAGTGACCTGTATAGGACTGTTATTAGAAGAGTTATGGCACTGGGAGGATTTTGTCCTGGACTTTATTTAGTTGGACATACTGATAAATGTTGAGTAATGACGATACTCTTGGTATTTCAACAGTGTTAATTAACACATACATAGGTCTGCTCATGTTTGCATACTCTACCAGTTAGAATATATGTGCAACCACATCATGAATGCAACATGAGGGAATTTGAAATTGTAATGGATAATGTCTTACAGCAGTAATATGTATAGTTTAAAAATCAGTATCTAAATGAAAAATCAATTTTTTTTTTTTTTTTTTTTTTTT